CAGACGACGTTTTGGGGACTTTGCTTCGTCCTTTGACAACAATTACCGAGCATTCTGTCGGTTCGGAAGCGGCTCAACCGTAAAAATTTTCTCATCAGTCCAAATGATTTCAGAGAGGCGGCGCACCTTGAGTGCGTCGAGCAACTTTTTCGCTTTTTCGAGCCGATTCTTCTTGGACTGTTCTGTGAGGTATTGGCCACGAAGGAGCCGATAACTGTTCAGACCCAAGTCCTTTTTCACAATGGATTGAACCGATTGTCTTGAGATTCCGAGCGATGAAGCCATTTGGTTCATGCTGACCGCATCATTTCGTGTGATTCTCTTCTTGATGATGCCACGAGTCCGGCGAGTGTTGACAGTACGAGGTCTTCCGCTTTTCTTAAGCTCCAACACATGTCCTCGATCTTTCAATTGTTGCACAACTCGATAGACAGTTGCTGAACCCAAGCGAGGGGGTGAAAATCGAGATAAAACAAAGATGTATTTAGGTTACGGTATTTGTCGCTGTGGGATCTTCGACCACGGTCATTTGGAACAATACGAAATGTATTCCAATATTCTGAATATTTATTGTGGTCATAGATAGATTTCTTCATAATTGAAAAATCAGGGTCCGGCCCGTTAAGTAGGAATTTTTTGAATCATTTTTAGGTCGCGAAACCGTAATATTAAAAGGCGCAACCTCAAAAAATGTTTGTGTGGAACCACGGGGAAATAATATTGTCAGTCGTCATTTTTTAATATTACAATATTTTCTCCTTGCTCCTTTCTCTTTTCAGATCGGAATGTTTAAAAACCGGAAGGGACACAATAATATGTTTCAACGTTGCCTATTTTTTTTTTCATCCCTATTGGTCAAAAAAAACCCTTCAAATGAGTAGGAACTTACTTCCTTGTCTTTTTCAAACCGTGAATTCGAGTGTGAATAGTTTTCACTTTCATCTCGGTTTCGAAAAACCCTGCCGGTCTCTAATCTATCTCTCAGCCTACAACAAGTTCCTTTTTCACTTCTGATGATTCATCCTTTTATTTTTTTTGTCGATTTGGAAGAAAAAAACCATCACAAAAATTATTTTCGTTCAATGCGGCGATTCTTTTACAATTATTTCCTATAGATTTTTCGTTCAATTCTCATGTCAGATTTTTGTTACAAGCATTTTTTGCGAAGAACAAACATTTTAATTAAATAGTTTTTACTAAATTATTGTCGGAATCTANAACATTTCTTTCGTCAAACAGACAGAGAGAATGCAGCTCATAGGGAAAGTCATGGAGATAGAAGGATTAGGAAGGTTTTAGGATAGTGAAGAATATATTATTTGATTGTTTTCCGGAAAAGAGAATTCGTCAGAGGAAAAGAAGAGTGAACGGATGAGCTTCGTGAATAAGCATGATTTTGAAATTACTGGCGTCACTAATGTCAGTCTGAACTGTTGTAAGGATTTTGGAAGTCGTTACAAAACTGACGAAACGTTTGCATCACAAATTAGTGATCACGGCATTGAGTCAGTGATGTTC